CCATTTTTTCATGAAGGAAGCAGAGCACAATGTAATACTTTGACTATACTTGTATTACAAATGTATGTTGGTGAAAGACTGAGTATTGAGCAATCACTCCAAAAAAGTACCTACTACTACTTAGCACTAGGCAGACAATGATTTTGGTCTCAATTACATACTAGATTATCTGTCTGATACTTGGGAGGCCCTCACATATCCCTGTTTATAGCTAAATGTGTCCTTACACAATGGGAGCAAGCCTCCTTCTGATTTGGGTCATTAGCACCCACTGAGTGTGGAACACCAGTAGCTAGATGTCTCACAAGCTGTTTTGGGACCACCAGGTCCTGTATTTACTTAGGATAACAGACTGATGAGCCCCCCATGTGCCTCTATATACATTTTTGACCTGGTTGACCTTTTGATCACCCCTTCCCCTGCTGGGCTAGCCTAGATGTTGGCATGTTGTGGATTTGATTCCTAACAGGACATGGTATGACTGTCCAACAAGGAAATGCAACATTTGGTTCTCTCTACATTTGGACCACATGCACATGTCCTCAATGTACATTGTAGCTATTCACTAATAAAACAGCCAAGCCTACTGACATACATGTAGACAATGGCCTGTAAGTCTACCTAGCTAGTGCTTCGGGGTTTACTGTACATTGTATGAGAGGAATAACCTCCGGTACAGCACATTGAAACCTTGCTGAAACAATGTAGCCAGTGTATAGGCCCAGTGTACAGGCCACATACCACCTTTAGCCATGGTACATATCAGGGTACATATCCAGGCCACAGTTCTGTCATGTGATAAGTCTGGAACTGAGTCACCTGATAAATATGGAACTGCCACTAGTTAGGCATTTTTGTTTGGAGAAGTTGAGTTGGAGTAGTGTTATATGGGAAGCTGTTACTGTAGCTTACTCCAGTGTCTAAGGCCCTCTCCTTGACTTTAGTCTGACAAACAAGCGGCAGACATACATTGTAAGTCTGAATTGTGTTGGAAAAACATGTAAATTAACCCTGTCCAAAACAAAATATCAAGACTAGTGTTTCAATAGTCCATACCCCCATGCAGCAATGGAATCTTCCAACACATTCTGTGGTAGATCCCTGGTAGAACCCGAGTGTTCTATTTAGAACTGTCAGTTGGGGATTAGGGTTTTCAAGCTACAATCACTGTTTTTACTCAAATAAGGTAAAATATGGTATTTCAAAGGGTTGAATCTGAATCGTGAACACTATAGTCTAAGTAAGAATTTGGTGCCAAGCTACATGTACCTTCACTGTGAATTTTAGGTCAGTTGGTTTTCGTATAACGCATAGGAGCCAAAAAAGGAACATTTTTGGTCAAAAATAGCAAAAAAAGTCCCATTTTACATAATTCTAAACACAAGACAAAAGCATAAATAACATTCTGTGGAATTGTATCCAAGGATCTCCCTTACCAAATTTCAGGGCTTTTGGTTTTAATATAAGGTCATACATGTAGGTGCCAAAAATGTACATTATTGGTAAAAATAGCCAAAAAGCCCTATGTTACATAATTTTAAAGTGGTGTATGTCAAAAGCGTGAATGACAATCTTTGGACATGTGTCCAAGGTATCCCCATAACAAATTTCAGGTCATTTGGATTTAACATTAGGGAACAAGAGTCAAAAATGTACATTTTTTGTCCGAAAATAGGCAAAAAGCCCTATCTTACACAATTTCAAAGTGGCGTGTGTCTAAAGCTTGAATGAAATACTTTGGACATATGTCCAAGGTATCCTCGTACTGAATTTCAGGTCATTTGGATTTGATATTAGGGCACAGGAGCCAAAAATGTACATTTTTGGTCCAAAAATAGCAAAATAGCCCTATTTTTCACAATTTCAAAGTGGTGTAAACTACTACTATTCTAGTCTTCAAAGGCCTACATGACCCTTCATATACACAAAATGGATAACCAAGGGTCTAGACCAGAAAGGTGGGGGCGGGGCCTGTGGGCATTGGTGCCATTTCCTGTCACGGTAATTAAAGCCTGGATGCCTGAGTAATATGGTGTGACCGGCTGTAGTCAGGGGAAGGAGATCATACATTGCTAGAGTATGGGGAGCCCAGAATGATAAATGATGATTAATGGTCAACACATCAGTGCGGCATCAATGCCCAATTGCCCAGGGAACTGGATCAATGCAGCATCAATGCTCAAAGTGCCAGATATGTGCAGCACCAATGCTGCACCTGTGCAGCACTAAATACCTCTTTCGTGTGGGA